ACTCACCCTTTCTCTAGGGATTGGGAAGGTGAGGGGGATAACAATACCTGCCCCATTCCTGCCTCCCAAAAGGAGGCATTCTGGGGGTGGTGGTGGTGGCAGAGGTTAAACCAAGACACCCTCCAGGCCTCCCTAGAGATGCAAAATTTCTGAAATTTTCCCTTTTTATAACCCAGAAAAAAACGGTGTGTGTGTGCTTTTTCCAGAAAAAATTGGACATTTTTGGGATTTTTACACTTCTACAGAATACCAGGGTTCTTACAACAAGAAAATGTAAAAGGAAAACACTTTTAGATATGCACTTCTACAGAATACCAGGGTTCTTACAAGAAGAAAATGTAAAAGGAAAACACTTCTAGATATGTGATTTTTCCCCCCAGAAAAAAAAATTTGGAAATTTTTGGAAATTTCACATCTCTAACTCTCCTTCCTTCAGGACCTGCAGGGGATCCACTCTACGAAATGATCCCTCGCCTCCGACGGTTGGAACTTTTTTCCCCAGAAAAAAATTGGAAATTTTTGGAAATTCCACATCTCTAACTCTCCTTCCTTCAGGGCCTGCAGGGGATCCACTCTACGAAACGATCCCTCGCCTCAGAGCTCGGCCGGACGGTTGGAATTGGACTCAGCCACCCGAGCCTTCTGCTGACAAATGTCTGGGAAGATGCTGGTTTTTGTCTTTTCTCTCTCTCTCTCTCTGCAGCTGCTGGCTCAGGGAGGCAATGCTTTTCAGGCAGAGGCTTCCAGGTTCAGCCATCAGCCTCTCCAGGTAGGGCAGGAAAAATACCGCCAGGGACCTCGAAAAGTTTTCACCGACCAGCCAGCCAAAAACCACACTGAAGCCCCGGATGAATCAAGGCTGGGATAGTTATTCTCTCTGTACTGGAATGGCCTAACAGCCTTTTAGGTGTTCCCAGAACTGTCTGTTGCTTATTCGGTGGTTATCCTCTGCTGTCAAGTCGCTTTCAACTCAGCCCCCCCCCCCATGAGAGTTTGGAGGTACCTATGATGCTCAACGCGGGGTTTTGCCCCTTTTTTTCCCCACCGAGTTTGCACAGCTGAGGAAGGTCCTGAACCCAGGTCTCCCGAGTCCTGTTTAAATGTACGAACGCCGTGTCCGCGTGGGTGTATGTTTGTGTGAAAATAAACAAGTATAAATAGCGTGTCTCGGGAAAACAAGGCAGCCGAGCTTTTGCAGGCTGGCAAACTTATAACCACCTCCAATATTCAATATATATATATATACGCTTGCACAATTCCAAAAAAGCCAGGCAGCTGTGGCAGGATGTGGCCCTACACATTGGCGCACGGCTGGTGGGCCGGGGCATCTCCTGGACCACGTACAGCCTTCCAGGAAGGTTTACAAAATGTGGCATTTTGGGGGGCAAATTTCCACCTCCATGCTCATTCCTTCAGAAATATGTATCTGCAGCAGTAACTCGGGTCTCCTTTCCGACGGGCAGGCCATGTGCCTCCTCGTGCACCATCCCCAGAAGACGTGCGCATGCGTCCAGGACAGGGCCAATGCTTTATACATGATCTTTTTGGGCGCAAAGCAAACGGGGTGCAGCTAGGCTTCCTGGCCTCCGTGGCTGCACAGGAGATCCCCCACCCCAGGCCATTTCTGCCTCCTAAAGCCGGTTGTAAGAATAGGGCCACCAGGAAATATGGACATTTGTCAAACAGCAAAGATTAATTACAAGAGATGCCTGGGAAACCTATGGAAAAGATCGTTTGGGTTCTGATAAACATACTGAACTGTCGGTGATAGCAGTTTCAGACAACGGCTTAGACAAGCAGTAAAAATCGCAAGTGCCCTGTGAAATTTTGGGTTTTTTTAAAAAAGGAAATAAAGCATTCCATATTAAGACATCGAGTCTTCAATGAAACGGGGGCTGTCGGTATCTGAAGTGAAATCAAAATAGTGGGAACACTGTAGGAGGACAGCGACGTCCTTTCCCACTGGGCAGATCGGTGTGACCGAAAAGCTCGCATGGGGCATTTTGATCCCCGTTTAGCTCAATGCAAAGATAACCTCTGCCAGTTTAGAGCAACAGCAACTATTTCAGTTCAGGAAGGCCAAAGAGACTACCAAGTGTATCTGCAGGGGACCGACTCCAACCCCCACCCCGTGGATTCAAAAAACTGTGGATCACAGTGAATGCTATACATTGTAGGGTCTCTAGTGGCTGGGTCTGGTCACTATATTGTGGAAATACATATTTCTGGAATTTTTCCTTTTAATATTTTCAGACTGGGGACAGATGAAACCGTGGATACCAAACCTGTAGATATGGGGGGTGGTGTTCCTACTATAGTCCTATGGCCACCCTCTTCAAACTGCACCCCATGTTTGATCAAACACTATCACGAAGCCCCTTTTTTTAAAGTGTCCCTTTTAAGGAGAAAGGCAAGATAAAAAAAGTTTAAATAAATAAATAAATGAATGAAATTTTCTTTGCTGCCAGCAGCAGCATGGGCCTCTCGGTGTGTAACTCTGGATCTCCTGCACGGAGGATCTTTCTGCAGCCCCCCTCTGCCTCTAGGATCCCCAACACCAGCTCTCTCTCACCTGCCAATTCTTACTCGCTTAGGCCCCACTTCTGCCTTGGGTTCTTTTTAAGGGGAAAGGTGTGGGATAATAATATTTTCAATCAATTCATCAATCATTTTTCGCTTCTAAGGAGGCAAGCATGGGGCTAAGAGTTCTGTGTACACCCCTGATGGGCAGTGCGACCTTCAATCCAAAGACTTGAGGGGCTGAGGTGGCCCCCTTGATCTGTGGGGGGACAGGGGTGGCGGTGGTCCAAGGGAAGCCAGCAGAGGCTCTCCCCAGATCTCATCAAGAAGTCAATTCCCTTGACTGGGGTGGTGGGAGTGGGACCCCCTTATGTTCCTACACAAGTACAAACGTAGCTCCTGATAAATGAAATAGGGATTCGGTCCTTAGCCTGTTTCACGTTGTCTCCCTGGACAAGCCTGTTCCATTCACTGTTGTGTCTTCAGCATTTAAGAATGAAACAGGATGGGGCAGGAGAATTATCTGGTCTTCTCACATACCTGGGACCACACCCCCATACTGACCAGCCAGGTGAGACCCTGTTCTCCATCCTTAAGGTGAAGCAAGTCCGTCCAGAAGGAAAGCCAGTGTCTGGCCTTCCTGTGGCCCCTTCATCTATGTGGCATCCCTTCCTAGTTAGCTGGAAAGGGGTCTCCTATTTCCCCCTCACCCTCCACCATCCCCATTTCTCCTCTATTTGCTGCTTCTCCACTCTTTCATCAGAGGACATGTTCCCCACATTTCTGCCATCTGGGCTGTCCTGATCTGTCTCCACGGAACACTTCCCCCCTGGTCTCCCTGCCAATTCACTCCCTCCCGCTCGCCTGTCTTTTTTAACTCCCTTTGAACCAAGCCCAGCTCCGAGACCAGAAATAAACTTGACCGGGTTCAGAGAGAGAACCGTTACCTGCAAAAAGGGGTCACGAATTCCAACCGGGCCTGGCAGGCTTTGATTTTGCAAGAGCTAAGGAGGGCGGCTGAGGACAGGACATTTTGCAGAGGGCTCATTCCTAGGGTTGCCAGGAGTCGGGGGTGACTTGACCGCACGTAGCAACAACAACAACTGGCCGTCGCCCCTGCAAAGCACCCTGCCCTCATCATCACCACCAGAAAAAAATATTGGGAGCGTGAGAGTAGCGAGTTCTTTCACTGTGACCTATGCACCAGCTCACACTCTCTCCAAAATACTTATCCAGGGTCATCATAGTGTGAGCTGTTCAAAGAGTGGCTGATCGTTGCTCTCCCCAGGGAGCTCCCATGGATGAGGAGGGATTAGAACCCAGGCCCGACACTCAGCCCACTACACCACATCGGCTCTCAACACGTTCTGTCAGCCAAGAAGCAACCAACACTGCCACTGCAGATAAACTGAGTTCCGCGTGCACATTCCAACCATTCCACCTCATAAACCTGTGGCCGGATGCTCCCCTGGAGGAATCCCTGCTAGCCACACCTGCTGCTGTCCAGCCCCCTCCAGCCGAGGCGGCTCCTTGTGGCCTTGAAGCACTGGCTGCATTTGGCTCAGCTTCCCGACAGAGTCTGGCCACTTCCAGACAAGGCTTTTACCCTTCCGTGGCACAGGCAGACATTTAGCAGGGAAGGGACGGGATGGGTTCTTCTAGCTTCCACCTTCCCCGCCCCACCAAACATCCATTAAGAAGGAAATAAAGACAGAAATCATGCAGAATCTTTCCCTAACAATAGCGCTTGGGGATGGCAGAAACTGAACCAGGGACCTTACCCACAAAATTCCCATCTTATTCCCCTCCTGCCTCTGATCTGAAGCCAGGAAAAAATACCCTTTATAACAGCTACAAAACAGGATGGGGCTGCTTTTCAGCTTGTCCTCTGAGGATGTAACAAGAATTGGAACCAGGAGAATGCAAACTTGTGTTTCTCAACTGGAACTCAGAGGTTTTCCCAGTGGTTGTGCTGCCCAGGGCATTCTGGGAGATGTAGTCCAACCCCTTCAGTACCAGCATCTCTGATTACTGTACCAATGGTCGGTGAGGCATCACTAACAGGATAAATCCTGCCTAATGTCAGGAAAAGCACTGTACCTGCAGGCTGCAAACTGGGGGACTTCCTCTAAAATGTCTGGTCGGCAACTCTCTCCCTGATCTTTCTCTCTCTCTGCTTCCTGTCAGGCCTTGGGCTCTCTTCCCACTCCTACTGCTCCAGAACTTGAAGCCTTTCCCATCGGAACGCTATTCCTCCTGCATGGATCCAGTAAGCAACGCTGACCGTCAAGGCCAACCAGCCAGCAAAAAGGCTGTGCCCGCTCAAAGCTGTGCTGCAGCTGCTTCAGCTCTGCAACGCTCATTCTTGGATCCGGTCCTACTCTCTCCCTCTCCCTTGCAAACACACAGCAAGTAGCCCGGAAGCAAAAGCCTCCAAGCTCCCCAGTCCAGGTCAGAGGCCAAGAGGTGAGTCCACTCACCATGGTTGTTTTCTGGGCACCGGCCCCGTCCGTCCTCTTTCGGGAGCTTCTCTGGATCCACCTGCAGGGGCCGGAAGAAGAGGGGAAAAGGCGCTGTGAAACAAGGGAGGGAGATGGCGGCAAAAAGGGTGCCTCTGAGTGGTCTTTCTCCACTGCTTCCCTTTACGGCACCCAGTTGTGGGACTGCAACCTTGCAGAAAACTCCCTGGGACGGCCAGCCACGTAAATGGTTCAACGCCTCTCTCCTCTCCATACAAAGGTGACGGAACAAAGTGCAAGGATCTCCTTCTGCTGCTTGGAGGAAGGCAGGGGAGTCTTTATCTGCCTTGTGGAGGTGGGGAAGGCTGCCTGCCAGGTGAGGAGCAGACAGCAAAGGGGGTGGGGCTGCTCCACACACTCCCATTTACACACACCCACACACACCCCACACACCATTCATCCCTAAGCACACATTCTCTCTCTCTCACACACACACACACACACGACATTTCCTATTTACCACCCTGCAATTCATACCCAGCCACACCTCTGCCGCCTGGTGGTGCTGCATTCAAAGTCTTCTCCTGTGTCTGGATGACCAGGAAGGTGAGGGGCAAAGAGGGACCTTCACCCTCCCCTCCACAGCTCCCTCCTCTACCCACCTGGTTTAGCTTAAAGGAGAAGCTTTATCCAGGTTTCCCTTCCAGTGAGGTGGCACGCTCCCCCTTCCCTGCAGCTCCCTGCTCCTCCTTTTGAAAAGCCACGGGCGTATTTCAAAGAAGCCTCCTGCCTGCCCCGGGAGTGAAGGAAAGGTGCCCTACCCTGTCTGAGGGTTGTGTGTCATATGTCATTTCGAACCACAAGAGGAGCCACTGTGGCATATAGGGCTTAGTGAAACAAGGAAGGCTCGGTTTCAGGTTGAGTTCCTCACAGAGATGGGAAAGAGACGTAGCAGCCAAGGGAAGCACCCAACTGGTCTCTTTACCCTGGGCACAATGTGAGTGTTTGTGAGAACAAAGAGCGCCACTAATACACTTCCCATCCATGAAGAAACAGGGGTCAAAACCCCATGGGAAGCAGGGAGACGTGGCTTCTTTATGAAGCCTTTCTTCCACGCAGAGGTGCGTTAAGTGGAACCTCCATTATTATGAAGCAGTCTACTGAACACCAGCTGATGGAGGAGCAAACACAAAGGGCTACTGCCCCGCAGGTGGGCCTTCCGGAGCACGTCTCTGCTTGGCCACTGCGGGAAAGAGGACGAGGGACTGGACAGACCTTGGCTTGACCTGGCAAAAGGCGATGCTCAGGTTCCAGTGAACACACAATTCAACAGTCACGTGTGACAAAAGAAACAGTCGTGTTTCTTTTGATGGTTATTGGTCCTGCTGGCTATACTGTAGCTCCGTTTTTAGTCACCAAGAGGAAAGACTGTGTGTGTGGCTGCTATACCTAGCTGGCCACTGCAGAAGCAAGCTGAATCAGACACGACACCTGTTTGATTTAGTTTCAGGGCTTTTCTGAAAAGGGGGAGTGAAGGCTTCCCCTCCTGAGTCAATCTCAAGGGAGCAGAGGAATTCTGAATAATATTCTCCCTGCAAATAGGGAGCATCCTTTTAATATAGTGTCTGGTTATTCTGTTTCGCCTGAAAGACACTGGCCCAAAATCTTTTGCATAAGCTATGTCTAGTGTCTGGTTATTCTGTTTCGCCTGAAAAACACTGGCCCAAAATCTTTTGCATAAGCATTGCAGAAGGGCAATGTTATCATTGGCCAGGAGAGATTAAAGACTTCCCCTTATGTCCTGCAGCTTGTCTTGCTTGGGAGCAATCTGCTTCATTGTGCAGAACCTGTGGGAACCCAGGATGGAAGTAGGAATTATTTAATCACAGAAAATTTCCATTGCTTGATGATGTTCTTGGCAGAGTTTGGTAATCAAAAACTTCCTCTTTCTGTCCCGTGGCTTCCATGACTTCCATGCAATGAAACAGATTACCTGCAAGTTGGAAAGCTGCGGAACAGGATGAGGAAGTCTTTCAGCACCCAAAATTGCCATCTGATGATGACATCACCACTCTTAAACAGGCATAATATACGCAACTAAATTTTGGCTGCTGAGGGCTAGCGCCTTCTTGTTATACGAAACACACACCTGTTATGGATAATACTCTTTCTGAACATTTTAACATTTAACCAATGGAGGACCCAGCTCCACAAGGAAAGGCAAGCTCTGTCAGTGCCTACACAATTCTAACCCAGGTTCCTCAACAGAGACACTCTGCACAGCATCTCCCTCCAGGTAGCCAGGGCCTACATTATGCGCAGAAGCGCAGCTCCAGCAGTGAGGTCCCTTCCCCTGTAATTTGAATAATTAAGTAGTCACAGGGCGTACAGAATGGGACTCTAATCTTTTCAAGCCAGGGCAGTGGATCAAAGATACTCAAAAGGCAGTTTCCTGAAACTCTGCAGCACTCAGGCTGGTCAGGGATGGGGGTGCGGGACCCCCATGTATGGCATATGATGTCCCAACGCAGAAGAAAATCCGAAGACAAATGGAACGTGGGGGCTTTGAAATAAGGTTTGAAGCAGAGTTGTTTTGCCTAGAACACTTAAAGTGGGGATTCTGACAAACTAGGAGAACCTACAATACCATGTGGGACAGACTCTTGTGAAGGACAGGTGCTTCTCTGATTAAAAAGAAAAAAGAAAATGCTAACAAAGAGATTTAAAATACCTTGGGAAATCTCACTCCTTCTCAGTCTGCAGTTCCCGGAGTCTGCTGGAAACCAACATTTTCCTAAGAGGGGAAGAAAAGAAAATGGAACAACAATCCATTGGTCGAGGGAAGCATTTCGAAAGTTAGCAGTTGCTGGACAGGTGACAGCATTAGACTCTCTTGCCCAATGAGCCCACAACTGAGAAGGCCCTATGGTTGAAAACCTGCACTAGGTTTCTCATCGGAATGACAGTCAACCCCTCTTTCAAACAGCTACGGTCCTTGCCCAGGAATGCGGCTCAGTTATTCCCAGTCCCACCCCAGATAGGTCTCCTCAGAAGCAAGCCCCAATGAGATTAGTGGGGCTTAGTCTCAGGGTACAAAGGTCTCCTCAGAAGCAAGCCCCAATGAGGTTAGTGGGGCTTACTCTCAGGGTACAGAGCCCACGGGTTACAGCCTTTGGAGTCCTTTGGGCAGAAACCTGGGACACGGATAAATTCAAAGAGCGTCAACCTCCATGCTAGTCCTAGCCTAGCCAAGATTGATAGCTGTAACATACAAAGAAGGACTTCAACGCATTTGTTGCTCACTCAGTTGGATTAATTCAGGAGCAGGCCAGATTTCTACAACTGGGCGCCACAAGCGGAGACAAGCAGGTGGGCCTGCGTGGCAGCGGGCATCACCGAAGCTGGCAGTGGGCAGCGCTGCAGCCAGCATTTTCCTCATACACCTTCCACGGACTGCTGGCCGCAGCCCCACACAAGCTTCCTCGGCAGCTTCCCCCATTACAGCCTGCCCACTGGACGGCACCACTTCTGATGTAGACACGAAATAGTGAGATGACCTTAGATTGAAGGGTTCACTCAAGACCTTCCCGCCAGCCCGATCTGCAACTCTCACGATCGGGAGACCACAAGAAGCCCTTGAGTTATAAGGACCTGCATTTTTGAAGTCACAATAAAGCACAATAATGAATGGTTGTGAGAAACCACCTCTGAAGTCACAATAAAGCACAATAATGAATGTTTGTGAGAAACCACCTCTCATGAAGCAAAACAACAAAACAACAAACACACACGCAAAACCCAGCCATCAGCCCCTGTCACACGTCAGGTTGAGGGAAAGGATTCCAGGCCTGACTTAGAAGCACTTCCTCTTTCAGAAATCAAATCCTGAGCGCTGCCTTACGCCCACACAGAGCTGGACTCCACCTCGGAAATTATTTTGATTGTTATGGAACCAGCTCCGGAATCTGTCAAAAAGCACAGCTGCCGCAGTGAAAGCAAAAGCACCTCACAGGATCTGCAGTGATTTCCCGGCATAACTCCTCCGAGGCACGGACTCTACGAGACCATCCCCTCACACGTCTGGAAATGCGGACAGGAAGCCTGTCCAGCGACCGACGATATGCAAAACCCGTCAAAATACAGCTATATTTCGAAGGCGTCAACCTCAGCCTTGATGTTTAGTGTCACAGCCCGGCTCCAGAGAGTATATTTAGCAACGAGTGCAGGCTGAAATGCTTCACCCCGAGTGGCACGCTTGGTTCCCGCACACCTACATCTGTGCCCGAGGAATGGGGCAGGCAGGAGAGAGCTGGCCCTCCCAACTCCTCTTACTTTGGAAAAGAGGAGCCTAGAGATCAAGTCCCTCATTGAGTCAGGGGTCATTTGAGGCAGCCGTCAGACCTCAACTCGGCTCCCAGGGGAAGGGCATTGCTCAATGGTAGTGCACACAACTCACACGCCAAGGGGGCCATGCTCCGCTCAAGCCATCTTCAATGGGGAGATTCAGGCTGTAAGGTTCACCAGAGGTTCTCTCAGTCCAAGACCCTAGACGGCCCCGACACCCCAAGCAGACAACACTAGGCCAAAGGATGAACTAACATGGTCCGTTAAGCCACCGTCTTGTTCTCCTGCAATGACAAAGCACCAGCACAACCCTATGCACGGCGAAAAGGAGTCCCTAAATGTATCAAGCGGCTTTCCACACCACACTTGCGATCAGCTCCGTAGGCATCCTTCACGGCTCATGCCTCCAAAACACATGCAGTGGACAACCAGAGAACCCCACACTCCTGTGTGTTTTAAAATCACACCTGTGGGAAAAGGCACACTCACTCCCTGGAACTTTCCCACAACACGGCTCATTGGAATTGCTGGACTCCAGGGCCTTTTTCAAGCTCAAGCGCTTCTTCCCCTTGCACATGCAGGCCACAGAGCAGCCCCTCCAAAGTGCACATCCAGATGAAAATGAAAAGGCTTGAACCAAAGGCGGGAGCTGGCCGGCATGAGGCTTTTGCAGCAAAAACAAATTCTGCGGCACCTTAAACTCTAAAAAACTGTATTATCTCTCAGTCTGCGTTAAGCTAAGAAACATATTTTGTAGATTGCGCTCCCCTTATTTGAATGAAGGTGCCATGGGACTCTGCTGATGATGGGAAATGTATACAACCCTGATTTTAACTATTTCACTTGCAGGGATCATGCACGGCTCTGTCCCTTCTTCGACCTTCTCCCTTTTAGAAACCAGTCAATCTTCAGGTGAAAAGGTTCTGCAGTCTGTCTTCTTTGAAAAAATGAATCACCAAGACATACATGTCAGGGATACACTTCTCAAAAACAGGAGAGCAGGAGTGCTTTTGTTCAAGCAGCAAAAACAGCACAGTCATCATACAAAAAGATATGCCATGGAAAAACAAAACAAAACAAAAATCCTAGCACATCAAAGAAAATTAGAGAATCATGGCATGGAACAAACAGGCCTTCCTTGTGATATGGCAGCTTTTAACTTTTCAAAGAGGTTTTCCCCTTCTTCATGCAAAGAGCAGAGTTTCTTATGAAGAGGAACACCAACCATCTTTTTTTTTTTAAATAAATTTTAAAATAATTCCAGTTTTCCTAAATACTATCCAATCATGGGGGAGTGCTGTTCTACCAATTTAAAATGTACTTATTTAAAATATGTTTGCCCTGCTTTTCTCCTTAAAAAGGGCCCAAGATGGCTTACGTTATTAAAAGGACAATGTCTAAAACCTAACAATAAGTATACAAATATTAAAGCAGAATTGAACAGTTATATTAAAAATGGTAAATCAAATCAATACTAGAAACACATTTACCAAAGCCAAACGGCTGTTATTATTTAGTCTAACGGAATAATTATCTAAAAATTGCAACTCTGACTGTAAACTATTACTTTACATTGTAAACTACTTTGAGAGTATTGACATTAGTGCCTGTACCTTAAGTACATTTAGCAACAGGGATAAAAAGGTAAACAAAGACGCCCAAGCCACACAAGAATAAAAAACATCCCATCCCGCCCTGGTGCTTACTTTTGATTTTGAATCTATGCCTGAAAAATCACCCTGAAACTTTGGAGTCCAGCTGTAGAGCCCCCAGGGCTCCGCCCACTCGTTCACCTGAGCATGTGCAGAGCACCTTCGGGCACCACCATCAGGGGCAGGGCTGGACAGGCTCCAGCTGGGGTGTAATCTCCCAAAACAGTTCCCCCTTGTTTGAAATAACAACGAAAGGCTGAAACGTGGTGTAGACAAACTAAAGGCAGCCAAAACTAGAGACCGCCCCCACGCAAAGCATCATGAATATACTCAAGAGAGCATGTTCTGAGAACATACAAGAGCAGAGCCTACGGAGCATGTGCAGAGTTCCCTCTCCTGCCTCTGGGAGACCTTTGGCCCTCCAACTCCCATCAGACTGAGCCCATAGTCTTATGAGGGGATTATATTCTGGGAGCTAAGAGTCCAGAGCACCTCCTGGGCTCCCCAGCCTGGCCTTATGTGAAGCAGGGTTCACCTGAGCATGTGCAGAGTCCTTCTCTTCCCTTTATTGATGGCGAAAGCTGAAGGCTGGAAGTGTGAACCTCCCTGGCAGGGCAAGTTCTTTCCGCTTGTTTGAATGAAATGGCAGCGGATGTTGCTAAAGGCAGGAGAAAGGCACGGAAGGCGAGCACAGGAAAACACAGGGAGCTCCAGTGAGAACTGGGCTGGTCTCAAAAACCGGGACTTGAACTGGAATAGAACATTTCGCCCAGTTTGCAGCTGGTTTAGGTGGGAAGGTGGCCACTTCCTTTGATTCCTTTAAAGAGGTACCCCCCCCAAGGAGCGGAAGCCAAGGAAAGAGGAAGAGGAACCACAGCTGGGAGCTGCTGCTTCTTTTTTAGACTACAATTCCCATTTGGAGTAGGAGTTCAAACAAAGCCCATGTTTCCCCACCCCAGCTTCTTCTTGCCTGATTGCCTCTCTCTCTCTCTTTTTCCAGGAGTTGAAGTCCAGAACAACTTTGTCCCCCAACTGCGCCCTGTACCTCTGCTCCTCGCCCCGCAAACGTTTGGCTGGGACTTCAATTTCCATCATCCCCAGCCAAGCAAACCCCAACCCCCCCTCCGCTTCATTAAGGGACTGAGCTAATTGGCCGCGATCGGGCCCTCGCGCTCCTTTCTCCTCTCCCTCTTCAGGAAGGAAGGGGGGAATCCCCTTTCCCGCCACACGCTGGCGGACTACAACTCCCATCAGCCCCTTCAGCAGCGGGGGAGGAGGATTGTGGGAACTTAAAGGCTCCAACCCCAGCTCGGGAGGCCGAAGGTTCTCGTCAGGTTTGCGAAGGGAGGCGCCCCGCCCCTGAGCATGTGCAGAGCGCCTTGGGTTCAGGGGCGTGGCTCGGGAGGGGGGAAGAGGGGGCGCCCGGGAGGGCGGGGCCTGCTCCAAGCTCCTCCCCTGGCGTCCGTGATTGACAGGAGTTCGGCCAAGGCCTCCGCCTCCTCCTCCACTGCCGGAGTGGGGGGCGGGCGGGCGAAGGCCGGGGCCTCTGGGGGGGGCCGTCCTGGCGGGGTCTCCTCACCTGCTGCTCCGCCTCCGCCTCCGCCGCCTCGCGACACCGCGGCTCCCACCTCAGGCGCCGCGTGCAGCTCCCGCCCACCCGCCTCTCGGCACCGCCCCTCAGCACCCCACGGCGGCCAATCCCGGCCCTCCGCGGGATACCCAATCCGGAGGTAGCCCTTGGTCTCGGCTCTCCATTTGCGGGGATCTGTTTGGCCGCGGCCCCTGTCAGTTTGGCGCTCGGTGCCTCGTGACGGAGACGAAAGACGAAGGGGCGGGGAGAGCGGGAAAGGGTGGGCCCCGGCGGCCAATGAGAAATCACAGCGCGTCCTTCAGGCCAGCCAATCAAGAAGCGGAGGGCGAAGACTTAAAAAGAAAAAAAAGAAGCTGCGCCCACGTCCGTTTTCCGCTCGGCGCTGTCAAAAGAGGGGAGGGGGGAAGCAAGGTGGATTGTGATTGGTTGGCGTGGGAGGCGCGTCAGGGCGGGCGAGCGGGCGCGAGCGCGCACACTTCCGCTGGGATTGAGGCCTCCGAGTAAGACAGTGGGCCCCGCCGCTCCGCACCTTCTGGCCCCGCCTCTGCAACGCCTCTCTGGTAGCCCAATAGAAACAAGGGGAGCGGAGGGGCGTGACCCTAGGGGTCTGCTGAGCCAATCACTGCCCACACACTGAGAGGGCGGGGCTCGGCGGCTCCTTTCCCTCTCCCCCGCCCTCCTCGTGGAGCTCCAGACGGGAGGGGCTGCCTTTTAATCCGCCTAGTAATTAACCTGACGTGCACAAGGATTTCCCCGCATGTGGATCACTTTAATTTAATATATGAAGAAATCCATTTTAAGAACCCTTAAGATTAACATAATAGTTATTAACACTGTATAGTACAATATAATTAATTAATATCAATTAATTAATATCAATTAATTAATTACTGCATGCCCTCAAATGAATTTCAACTTACGGCAACCAAGTTTTCAGGGATTCCCAGCTAGAATATATACAGAAGAGGTTTCCCGTCCCTTCTTCTGGGGCAGATTCCCACCCACTGGCTCCTTACCCAGATTCCCAAACCACTCAGCTATCCAGCCAATGCATAATATGTTATTAATATAATTCATATACATTAACCCACAGCACCACCACGTCCCTTATATTAGCACTAATATTAGCATATTAATAGCGATATTAAAAATCATTCATTATAATTGCCTTTTTTGCTGCCTCTCTTCCCGTTACGGGGATTATGTTGGCGTAACAATTGCAACATTGGTGACTGGGGTGTTGTTAGCTTGTATTTACAAGGAGATGAGCAATTAATAACTAATGAGTAAATAATTGGGAAGGGGCGCCTCTTGTGATGGCAAATTGCATGCATTGCATGCAGATAGTTCCAGGTTTCTTCCCATCCTGCTCTGCCATCAGATTTTCTTGCTGGATGTGGCTTTTGCTGTGCAGTTAACCTTTTCCAGTTTTATTTTACCCACTTATTTTCTGGATAAGTGGCTGCTTTGCTGGTCATCAGGAGGAGGGCGGGAAATAAATTCACACACGTGTCTGGATCTGGCCCCATGCATGTTTTTTTTCTGCACTTGTGTCCTCTTGAGGATTTCTCACCCACCCTTTCTAATAGAGCAGTGGTTCTTAGCCTTTTTGAAAGAAACGCCCCCTTGATCCATTGAGGAAGTTATCATCGCGCCCCTCCCCGCGGTGATGATATCTTATTTATTTATTTGTTTGTTTGTTTGTTTATTTATTTATTTATTTATTTCAGACACTTAAATCCAATGACCCCTGAAAACACAATTAAATTAAAACTCTGAAACTAAATTAAGATTGGAGGAAAATATATATTCATGCACATTGTAAAAAGGCTGCAGCCATCTTCACAGGTTTGGCTTGCTCCAGCGCCCCCATGCCGCCCCTTTTTATTCTACCGCCCCCCTGAAAAATGAAATCGCCCTCTGGGGGGCATTATCACCCACATTAAGAACCACTGTAACAGAGGATAAGGTGACACATGAGCCACCAACCAGCGTGCCCCACTGGGACTTGGGGATCAGTTTTCTGTTCTGGCAGCAGATCCCTCAGTCTGGTGATCCCCCAACCTCAGACTGCCAGCTGATTTTCAAGGGGCAACTAGGTTGCAAAATAAGGAAGTGGGAGGGAAGAGCAGCCAACGGATCTGGAGGTGATCATTTCCCGTGTCTTTTGGAACAGGCTTCTGTTATTTAACTGAGAGGCTCACAGCGGCTGGGAGGAAAAACAGATTTACTCCCAAACCTTGTATTCTTGTAAGCTACCACTGTTTGTAATAGAAAGGATGTGGGAGTGATTTGGTTTTGAATAGGCAATTAAGAGCCGTCAGCTTTACAAAAGAGGCGCTCCTCGCTTGTTGATGTGGGCCAATCCCTGTGAATTCACCACCATTAGACAAAACTGTGTACAAATGTGCGTGTATTTGGGGAAACATGCACAGAATTCACATACATTTTGAACAGAATTTCTTTAAAAAGAAAAAGACAAGTTGAAATTAAGACTGGGAACATTCATGAAGGTCAGGGAGGGAAAAACACAATGGGAGTAAGAAAAGTTAACGAAAAATCCAAGATGGACAGACAGAAGAAACGTCCTGGCAGTAAGACCCTTCCAGAAGTGGAACAGAATATCTCACCAAGTGAGCGACTCCCCTTCCTCGGAGGTCTGTAGTAAGCAAGGAATCCGTCAGAGGTGTTTGAGCTGTGGATTTCCTGCTCTCTTTTTTGGAGTGGGGCATTCAGATCAGATGACCCTCGGGTTCCCTTTCAAGTCTACGGTTCCGACTGGACGTTGTGAGTGCTGTGGAGTTGGCTGCTCCTGCAGAGTCCCAGCCCACGCCGCTGCCTCTTCCTGCGAGGAAACGAGAAAAGAAACGAAAACGGAGCCACGCTCCTCCAGTCCTGCAACCCGCCTCACAAGGATGTTGTTCCGACAGCCCGGGAAGCAGTGGCTCCATAACCCTTGCTAAAGACGCTGAGGGATTTTTGTTTATACGCGTTGTTTGAGTCCATTGTAAAGCACCTGGAGCAGTGCAGCTGCTAACCAACTAATTAATTAACTAACTAAATAAATAAATAAATATTCCTAGAAACGCATAATACATTTTACCCCGGCTGTGAGTCTCCTGATGCCTTCTTCAGAAGGCTACAAAAGTATATTATAACACAAACTATATTTTTATTTTAAAAAAACTTCTTTTAAAGAAGTAGAATTTTTCAGTTGCTCTTACTTTACAAAATACAGTCGAGATGTAATTAGAGAAAATAATGTGCATATTTCTGCTAAATAAACGTTTCCCGCCCAACAGACTGGTAGCTAAAAGGTGTGTATCTCTAAGAAGGATGTGATTTTTACTGTTTGTTCCTATATTGTGGCAGGCAAGTAGCTGAATGGGGCAGCAATTACGTCTATAGATGTATTTTTGTTTTACAGCCTTTAGATTGCAAGAGGCCGAAATGCATGGGGCATTTTTAGCAAGAAACATTATCGGATGCCGTCTTGAGACATGTCTGGCCCAGACAAAGTACCCCCTGAATCTAGACCATGATTCTCTGCTTCCTCATGTTTTCTTTCCAACCGAGGTGCTGAAAATGATGGGGTGCCCTACAGGTTCCAGAAGGTGTTGAGACCTACGTACCTGGATCCCATCTCTTCCTCACCTTGGTCCTCTTTCAGGTATCTCCCCACCCCTCACCCCCCAACCAGGTCACAGAGCCGAAAGGAGAGTGAGATCTCACATGGATTTTAGTGGCCTGGGAAGAGGTAGAATTTCCTGCTCAGGGTGGTTCTGTCCTTTGAAGGCATCTGGAGGGGGTGGTTGTTTTCGAAAGCCCGCAAGACCTGCAGAGTGGAGAATCAACAGGAAGAGCTCAGACACGGGGGCTCCCAGCGTCCTAAAGCAACTTTGCCAACTGGACAAAGGGGGTTTCCACAGGGCCTCCCATCCATGGTGTGCAGAAAAGTCAGTTGCCGGTGGGAGCCTGGAGGAGGGGGACACACACCTTGTGTACTAGCGATCAGAGCTGGGAATTTGGGCAGGAAACAGCCATCTTTTCCAGCCCACTGTGGGTGAAATGTGGGCTCATGAATGCCTTTGGAAGCAGGACCATCCTTCCAGAAAGGCACGTTGCAAACTCCGGCAGGGGGACAGACCTTGAAGGGACCCACCTTCCGGAAAATCTCTTCCAAGTCACAGTTCCAGGCGTGTTCCTTGATGAGCTCTATCAGCTTGACGATGAAGACTGAACCAGTTGTACATCGTCTCCAGGACAGGTTATCTGGGTGGTGGAGGGAGAGAAGGCTTATTGCGGCTGGAGGGGATCCTTTCAACGAAGGAAAACGAGACCCCTCTCCTGAGATCTACCTGCACGATATCTGAGACTGTTAAGACAAGTATCTTCAGTAGCGGGCTCACAAGATTAAAGCTTTGGGTCATTCATCCTCCTCCCCACCACTCTGGCTTTGCTGTGCCCTCTGAGTGTAACCACAATCCTCTTAGTAGCTGGGAAACAAATAGTTTTTTCCGAGAATGGGATATCGCTGCATGATAAGTCACTTTTTATCATGCAGAAGACTAGAGCGTGGCTTGAGCTGGGATGGGGAATTAAAAGCCATTCGCTTTACAAAAGACCCGCCCATCATTTGTAGGATAGATCTAGTGGCCTGCAGGTTTGGACTCCCTTTATGGACCCTGCGGTTTGTCCTGCAGCCACGATCCAAACTGTCCAGCGTCAGGATCCTGCTGTAACCTAAAATCAAGGCTGGGAGGTGTTGTAGGAAGACAGGGGAATGCTATCGGTCCACCCTACACCCGATGCCCACTTAGTACCATCCTTCATCCAGAAGCACCATATTTAGTAGTTATTTGAATATGGTGCTTCCGGATGAAGGATGGTTCCCACCTTCCTCCTCCGGAGAACTCAAAGCAGCTCGCAATATTCCCGTAAGATGTCACTCCCACCTGGAGTTGTGGAGTAAAGGCAGATGAAGTCACTCTCTATGTGGACTTTCTGAAGGGCATCGCTTTCCATTTCTTCTGGGAGCCATGAAATGTCGTTGGGAGAGGCGGGAGGCCCCGTGGAGTCACTCACGTAGGTCGAGCCTTCATTTACTGGAGAATATCAAGAACCCGGGGTCAGAGATCAAGGAAGAAAGCCCTGGGAGGAACGGTGAGGTAGGCAATAAAAAGTGTTGGACTCGGGAAGAGACTGTCTTGAAAGGCGCTAGCATTCCTGTCCCTTGAGGCTTTTCAACAGAGGTTGGGCCCCTGTACGGGATTGCCCACGCTGCGGATTAATCCTGGATCCAAACCTGGCATTATGCACCCTCCGGCGGAGTCCGGTTTACCCCAGTTTCACAGGGATCAGGAAGCCATTCTGGGTCTTGCTCTTCACTACCCCAAATCAGAAGGTACTGGACCTATTTCAGGATAGGCATCAGCACCCTGGAGAGCTCCTTTATAGGCCAGAACAAAAAAAATGGAAAGAAGACCAGTTTGATCCCGGAAGATTAGATATATGGAAGACTAGGCGATACCTTTTATGGGGCCACTAAAAATTAACACAAATAGCAAGTTTGGGTGGATGAAATCCACTTCCTCAGGCTCTTCTGCACCTTCCATGGATGGTGCAGAAAAATGGCCCAGAAATAGACCGTACCTATCTAGCAGAGAGAGGTTGGGCCTGTTTGTCTCTGTTTGGAATTTGTACACCCTGGGGCTTGAGACTGAAAACGGGTTTCCTTTATCTATGGGAATCTAACTTTTTAGATGTCACTCCAAGAGGATTCACTATCCCTGTGAATTTGGATCCTGCTGTTGGACATCGAGACCTCGCTGATGGTCCAGAACTCTCTGTTAGGACCCAGCTTCCTTCCCTTCTGTAGGCAACCCACTCTGAGAAACTCGAGGCTGGATCTGGGCCAGGAAAGCATTATTGGCTTGACCCGTCGATGCTGGTCAGCAAAAATCTGGAGGACCCCCTCGGTCAGCCCCAGACCCAAATCAGCAAGACCCCGAAGGCCCGCCTGTCTTCTCTCACACACCCCGACGCTCCACGCCGACCACTTACGGCCACGACAGGCTTGAATGAGGATCACTTTGGGCTTTCTCAGCAAAGCCGGACAGTTCTTGTTGTTGAAGGCGGAGAAGACGGCGTCGATGGAGAGGATGTCTGAGTCTTTTCCCCGACTCTTGACGCCGCACAGGCCCTCCCGGAGGCCGTGAGACATGAGGACCACGAAGGTGCTGTCCGACGTCTTGTGCTCCTCCCGGGCTGCAAAACGCTGCAGGCATTCGGTTATGCCCTGGTGCAACGAGAAGGGAGGCGAGGGGATCAGGAAGAAGCACAAATTTACAGCCCGGGAGCGTAAAAACAAGGATAGGCAAAGTCTATCTTGGATGCCCAGCCTGTTAAAGGCTGGGAAGATCGGCGAGAGAGAAAAACGAAACAAACCAATTCTAACCAACCCCCTTTTAAGGAGAAAGGTGGGATATAAACAAACCAACCAACAAATGTGGGCAAGGAAAGGCGTCCACCCCCTGCCTGCCCAAGTCACCCTACCTGTGAGGTCAAGTTGGTCTCCGTTTGGACCGTATAACCCAGACCTTCCAGGAGGCTGGTCATCTGCTCCAGGTCCACCTCCGCCCCCTCCCTCTTTCTGTGATGTTCGAAGACGATGTTGCAGATAATCAAAGCCAAGCGGGTCCGACTCTTCGCATCCTTGATGGGGTAGATCTGCCAAGAGATGAAAGCCTGTCTCAGCCAAATCAGTGGGTGTGGGGGAACCCCAATGAAGCCAACCAGCTGTTTTGACACTGGAGGAGACATCCGCCCCGTGCTCTTCCCTTTCCTGACAGCAACAACTGGCTATGTCTTTCTTGACCTCCGAAATCTGCTGCCTGACCTGGCCCGTTCCTGCCGCCTAACAGTACGGCCGGCCCTGATTAAGAATGCTGGATCAGGCCAGCGTCTGCCATCCCGTTTGGAGCGGGAGGCTCTGCACAGCTATTGAGCATCATTTTAAATGCAACAGTTCCCTTCTCCATCCCCCGCCCCCTTATTTTCCTCACCCTCGAAATTCAAACTGACCCCAAGGAGCGATCTTTAATTTCACTGGAAGCGTGAAGGCAAATCCAGCGTGACCGGATCCCCGGATCTGAGCCCAGCCTTTCTGTGTTCCAGGCTGATGTTTGTCAGAAACTTATAACTGGGGTGTCAAAACAGATTCTCACCTCCCCGGCTTCCTTAGCCTGGATCTCGTGGAACAATTTCGTGGGGCAAAGACGTATCCCGTTTCTCCGCTCCAAGGGCTGGGAGTCTTCCACTGGGAGAGCCATGCCTGGACCAGGTGGGGAACCTGGAGGGCCTAAAACCAAGAAGGATTCATGTACCAGGCGGAGCAAATCACGATCAGAGAAGAAAACAAACAGGGAGGCCTCCATCATAGAACCGGAAGGGGCTATTGAGGTCATCTAGTCCAGCCCCTTGCGGATGAGGAGGGATGGAGTCCATAGACTGAGCTGAATCTCTCTCCCGGAGGGAGAGACAGGGGAAATGAGAAGGGAATAAAAGAGACACGCACCGATTGGGTTGGGAGTCAGGCCCAGCTTTCTGGCTAAGTATGGGTCCCGACTCTGGAGTTCCGCAAGGAAGATCGCGCTGGCCTTGGGCCCTTTCCTCCAGACGTGATCGAACAAGGTCCGTGCCTGGCGGCGCTTCCCGTCCTGTTTGCTCACCTCCTCCATCTCTTCATCGTTCAGGACCCCCGCGTGGAGCAGGCTGTCCAGGAGCTGCCGGATGACGGCTTCGCTCACCCCTTCCACGAAACCAAGCCTCACTCCCGACGAAGTCTGGTCTGGAAGGGAAATCGAGCATGTTTGTAGACTGCCCTCCCTCAAAACCAATGTCAACCGAGTTGGCAGAATCTGAACTTCAAACACGGCTGAGCTGGCACAGGTAGCCATCCTGGGCAGCCAGCACACATGCTGGGCTTGGTCCTGGGTTCAAATCCCACCTCTCCTTAGGGATACATGGCGTCCCCACACACCAAGGATGAGAAACATGCTCTCTAAACCCATAGTTCCCATCAAGGACACACCTTGGACCAGTTTCTTCAGCTCCTGCCAGCAAGGAGCCAAAATACTCTCTTTAAAAAAAAAACACCTTAAGAAACATCTATGTAATTTCAAAGGTAAAACCAAGCCTCACTCCCGACGAAGTCTGGTCTGGAAGGGAAATCGAGCATGTTTGTAGACTGCCCTCCCTCAAAACCAATGTCAACCGAGTTGGCAGAATCTGAACTTCAAACACGGCTGAGCTGGCACAGGTAGCCATCCTGGGCAGCCAGCACACATGCTGGGCTTGGTCCTGGGTTCAAATCCCACCTCTCCTTAGGGATACATGGCGTCCCCACACACCAAGGATGAGAAACATGCTCTCTAAACCCATAGTTCCCATCAAGGACACACCTTGGACCAGTTTCTTCAGCTCCTGCCAGCAAGGAGCCGAAATACTCTCTTTAAAAAAACAAAACAAAATCCTAAGAAACATCTATGTAATTTCAAAGGTGTTTATTGTCCTCTCTCTTTGAGCAGCAAGGCCCGTAAGAGGACTGGCTGATCTTTCCAAAAGATGCCAACAACCCATCCTGGGCTTCAGATTGTTAAACAAAGCATCCATGACATGCTCTGTTCCACTGGCCAGCGGTTATTCATCTCTGCCAGCCAGCGGGGTTTCCTGGTCCTGGGTTCAAATCCCACCTCTCCTTAGGGATACATGGCGTCCCCACACACCAAGGATGAGAAACATGCTCTCTAAACCCATAGTTCCCATCAAGGACACACCTTGGACCAGTTTCTTCAGCTCCTGCCAGCAAGGAGCCGAAATACTCTCTTTAAAAAAACAAAACAAAATCCTAAGAAACATCTATGTAATTTCAAAGGTGTTTATTGTCCTCTCTCTTTGAGCAGCAAGGCCCGTAAGAGGACTGGCTGATCTTTCCAAAAGATGTCAACAACCCATCCTGGGCTTCAGATTGTTAAACAAAGCATCCATGACATGCTCTGATCCACTGGCCAGCGGTTATTCATCTCTGCCAGCCAGCGGGGTTTCCTTATGCCAAACCTGGGCAAAGTGCGGCCCGAGGGCCACATACAGCCCGCGAGACACTCCTGTCCCGCCCGCCGGTCATCGCCCCAGTCTGGTGTTCAAGCACTTGTTCAAGCCCAAGACAGACTGGATTTCTCTCACTGAACAAGCTGAACATCAAAACCACTTAATAGCTTTTTGTCTAAAGTTGACCCGTTGCTTATCTTTTATTTTTAAGTAAAGTTGGTTCGGCCCCCCAGACCACAGTTCAGATTTTTCATGTGCCCCCCCCTACAGAAATTAATTGCCCGCCCCTGCGCTTATGCCTAGAGATGCGCTTATGCCTGGCCTTTGGACCTTCCGCCTGGAAAGCGAGGATTCAGCCAGAGACATCTTTTGCTCCCGGCAAGCCACCAGGAGGAGCTGAAGAAATCTTTAAAAAAGAGAGGAGGGGAAAAGAAGAAGAAAGCAGGCTTTTCTTCATGGAGAGGAGGAGGAGGACCCAACAGGAAAGCTAAAGCTTGCTCCTCTTCGGTGCCCTTTACGGGGAAACTGATGAGGTTTCCAAGTTGCCCCAAATGTCCAAGAAGCGGCTTACCCCCTTCCAACCCTTATAGATTATGTCTAGTTATGATCTATGGTTCCCTGATAGCACTATTTGGCACAGAGGGGGGGGAAACCCCCCCCCGAACACAGTTCAGATTTTTCATGTGGCCCCCGCTACAGAAATTAATTGCCCGCCCCTGCGCTTATGCCTAGAGACTTTGTTCGCTGGTGTTTCTAATTCCGATGATCTCCCCTTCCCCCCGTAAGAGGTGGCCCGATCTCTTTCTAGCCCAGGGGCGAAGGTGTTTTCGGGATGAACCCTCGAGAGGCAAAAAAAAAAAGCTTTTTGCTCTGCCTTTCCCGGATGGGCGCTGAGCAGTTTCGAAGAGGAGAAAAGGCAGAGAAGTGGGAAGTTTTTTTTTTTAAGGGGGGGGGAAGATGTTTTGCCTCTTACCTGCCATGGCCGCTCACAGCCCAGACACAAAAAGCCAGGCGCGTGTGAAGCAGGAAGCCTGCAATTGTGAAAGTAAAACCAGCTGCCTCCCCGCTCCTCTGTTTTCCTTTTCTCCTCCTTCCGTTCAGAAAGGAGGAGGATGATTTTCCTGCTGGGAGAGGGGCGGGGAGCCGAGGGTCCTCTTCTTTTCACCCAGCGGCTGCCACCGAACCAGGAAAAAATATATATTCTTCAACTTGGTGCCCTACTGATGCCTCAAACTGGGCAGAGTCAGCAGTTCAGGGCGTTGGAGCGAAGGTTTGGCACTAAGCTAAATTCCCAATCCTCCGGCTGATTTTAAGGGCCAGCAGCTTTTCCTTGGCTTCATAATCGTAGCCTCCCAAAAAAAAGTCTGGTCATGAACTGCCCTGCAGGGAATCTTGCAATCTCAAGGTTGTGGCTTGCTTTGCAGTGTGAGTCCATCTCATATTCTGCCTTCCTCTTCTCCTACTGTGTTCAACTTGTCACAGCGTTATCCTTCTTCCAGGGACTCTCGTTTTCTAACGCGACAACTGCAGTATGATTCCCTCATTTACTCCTTTTAGCTTCTAGGGACAGTTTGGGTGTCTTTCTGGAAATTCATTGTATCTATCAGGCTGTTTTCTCACGCTGCCTCTGAAGTACGGATCACTCCTTTACTCGTTTCAGCTTCTGCTCAGACTGGATTTGCTCCAGAGCGTGTCAGTTTATCTTACCAGGTGATCAACTGTATCTGCCAGGCTGTCGTCCAGCACCAAATTTTGAATGAGCTGATTCCTCTCCCCCTGTAAGCATCCTTCACCATCCAGCTTCCACATTGATACCAAGTAAGAGGATGTAACGTGGTCTGAATGATCTTGATCTCGGTTCCCAGCAGGACCTTCTTACTGATCTTTTTCGGGCCCTTCACGTTTTTTAACTTCCTCCCAAGTTTTACCCTCCGACTGATTTCCTGGCTGCTGCCTCCATTCTGGTTCCTGAAGCTCAAACCAAGGGATAAAATCTCTTTCAGGCTCAGCAAAACTGCCTAAATCTAAGCAAACTTAAGCTTCGCTGGAGAGCAAAGCCCCCCCCTTGTTAGGTGCTGAGATTTTTATCCCCTGCCCCGGCACCACAGACCTGGTTAGCTGGAGGGCTTTCTCTGACAGCCTGGGGCTGTCCATCCAAGGATACCACAGAGGGGGCTGAACCCACCGTGCATCCCTTCACCTCCATTTGCAATAAAAGTTCCCTCCCCCCAGGCCTTCTTAGGGGTGTGGGAATGTCTATGGAGGAACCTTTTTACAAAAAGATCAAGCCACTGCCAATTTGGGGGGGGGGAGGGGAAAGCAACTCCCTCCACCAGGTCTGAAAAAGGTCAGCACAGGTAAACACACCAATATTAGCCTAAGGGCCCACTTTTACGCCCAAAGAACTCCAGCGATGTCACTTTAAAAGGGCAGCCATCAAACAGGACTTAATCATCTTTTCTGTCAATGGCCTTCAAAACCTGCCTAGTGCTTTCAGGGCTTCGACAGAGAAGAAGTTCTAGTGACTACACATGTAAAGATAAACTTTTTAAAAAAATCATCAGTTGTGCAGGAACATCCTTCGATCTTTTCTTTGCCCCGTCAGCTGTTCCATTCTTGCTAAGCAGGAGATGACACAAAGCTCTCTTGCCGGAAAGAGGCTGTCTTGCTCAGGCCTTCTATCTGCAGTACAAGCCAAGGGTGAGCAGCAACTCCCTACAGAGGCCAGGACCCACTTTTCTCACCGCCACTGCCCCCCTTCCACCTTCCAGGCTGCTCCACACACTTCAGGGGAAGCCGGGAGTGGCCAGGTGGTGGTTTCCAGTTTCTTCAAAACGTTTCCGGAGATTAAAAGTTGGTTTTGCCGATCTCTCTGAGATTTCCAGTGGGGTATCTTCCCACATTTCTCCATGTAGTGGGAGGCACTCTGAATGGATCGCACGCCCTTGGCAACCTGCGTTCTACTATTGCCTGCTTGGCTCGAAAACAGATGCAGAAGTGGCTTGCTCTAAGGAAGGGAAAGAGGCCACCAAGATCCAGAACGGAAGGAACAGGCAGAATCAGTGGAGAAAACCAAGATGGACAAAGCAGGGGGTGGGGGTAGGAAAAGACTAATATAAAGGAACAGAAAGCAGAGACAGAAAGAGCTTAGTGAAGCGATCCACTCTGAGTAAGGTAGGGAGCAAAATTGTCAGGAGAGGCCAAAAAAGCCTTACGTTCCTAGAGATGATAGACTTCCCTGGGAGGTAATAAGACCCAGGCCTTACAGATTCTGCATCAAGCAGAAAATAGATGAATCCATTAATGACCCCTCTATTTCTTCTATTTTAATAGTAAGGATGGGGGTGCACAAGGAGTTCCAAAGCAAAAAGGGGGACATCACCCTCTGCCCATTGGTGGCCTCCAGCACTCCCATCCTTAGGGGAAACTCTCCAGGAAGAAGGAAAGAGGACTGTGTTGTTTTTTCCTACCTCCTGGTTCCATGAAGAGGCAGGGCACCCCCCTTACCAAACTGAAGCCAAAACTCAAAACGCCATCATGTTTAATATTAAATACTGTACAGGTGCAAAAGTTAACAGGAGGGAAGGACAAGTCAGTCGCCACGGTGGGGTTCCCTCTGCAGGAGTGACTCTGCTCACGCCTCCTGGGAACAGGGAGGGAGAACATGCAAATATCTCAGCTGGCAACCAGGGAATGGAGAAGCCCAGCTGTCCACAGGGCACCGGAGACCACCGGCCTGCAGAGAAGTCTTCTGACCGGCAAGGAGATGCTCCTGCCCCATCTTGTTCGGGAAGGTCAATCTGTAAGGAACCCATCCAGAGATTCTATAAGGGGGGACGCTCCAGGAAGCTGCAAACGGCGGCCAGAAACTGCTGGGGTTGGTCCGCGTGAACCCAGTGTCCTGCATCGGGGATGTACTGGATTTCTGCTTGTGGGAAAAGCCGTTCAATTTCAGGGTAGTCATCGGAGCTGCAGAAAAGGGAACAGAAGGCAGAGTGGAGTCTGAAGAAGGGGAGGAGAAACATTAAGCAATGCAGAGGGAGCCTTAATATTGTATATCGAAGCCAGTTTTTTTGGGGGGGCCCTCCAATTCTTTTCTAGCATTTATGAGAAACCTTCTTGCAGCTGAGATCTGAAAAAAAAGAGGCATCAGGCGTGAAGGACGGCAGCCTCTGACAAGCAGAGGATGAGTTATTCTCTGTGTCCTTTGGATGTTGGGGAACACAACCCCCCCTGTGTCCCTGCCCGGTCACCCCTGAAGTCTGTGAGGTTTCATCCAGACCATCTGGAGGATGTGAACTTTCCTCCTTTTCTTCTGCACACTGGGAGATGGTTCACAAACGCTCACCTGATGTAGCCAGAGTTGGAGCCCCCGAGGAAGAGAGTAGGCCCCGGATAGGAGGTCCGGAAGTCAGGAAAACCCATGAGATCCTTCAGATGTCGGGAGATGGCCTCCAGGTTCACCCGCCACACAAACCTGTCTTCAGTGTACACAAGGTTGGTGAGCAGAAACTGGCGGATGGCGGGCTCCTGTTCAAGGAGAAGATGGAAAGGGGAGGCTGGAGGGCGGCTCTGAACAAGGAAGCATTGAGGAAGAGACTGAACAGAACCCAGTCGGAAGCACAGGGACCGCTTGCCCGCCTAAGAAAGCAGGAGGGGGGATCCAACGGTCTGGGCCCAGGGAAAGAGCAGGTTTACCTGAATGGTCGCCCGCAGCTGGTCTTCGGCCAGACGGCGCGCGGTGGAACGAGGAATGCCCCGGGGAACCTCCACCGCCTTTAGGGCAGCCACAAAATGTTGGAAGCTGGTGACGCCGGTCGTCTCACTGGGACTGATGTCGACACACACCAGGCCCTCCACCAGCTCCGGCTGGGGGGTGGAGTGGGGAGGAAAGGGAGAGACGCCGGAAAGAGACCGGCCACAGAGTCAGAACGAGGCGAGGGGTGGTCGGGCTTCCTCCCAACCTAAGAACTGCTTTCAACTCTTCCCGGGAGATGATACGAGAGGAGGTCAGGACGGTGATGGCTAACCTGACTTAAACAGGACAAAGGGGTGAAGCTTGGAAAAGATTTCAACCTCTTAGGAAGCCACAAAAACCAAGTTTTCCACCCTGAGATACTGTTGAATCTTAACACTCATCCTGTAATCTCTGGAGTGCCTGATCTCCTCTGTACTTCATTCCTGGCCGTCTGAGGCTCACCTCTCATCAACCCTGGGCGCTCCACTTGCTCCTCAAAGAGTGACCCTCCTGCTCTCCCCATCCCACCACGGTGGAAGAGGGCACAGCAACCCGCTGGCCGAGGCACCTACCCATCGGAGTGTGAAGGACATGGCCGTCTTGCCGCCCATGCTGTGCCCGACCAAGATGCACCTGTTGAGCTGCAGCTGGTGCAGGAGGAGGTGGACGTCAGCGCTCATGGCCTCGTAGGTCATGAGTGGGCTGTGGGGGCTGTCGCCATGGTTACGGGCGTCTACCGTCAGCACCTAACTGGGCGGGAGAAGGAGAGCAAGTGGACAGTTGGCACGGAGGAGGCCCCAGAGACTCTGGAGCAGACGAAGGGACTCCAATATCCACTCCCTCTGACCATTGACCAGCAGGTAATTGGGGTCCATCAATGTGTAGTTCCTGGGGAATTCTGGGAGTTATCATCCAAACACAGAGCGTCTAGCTTCCTAGCCTAAGGACCCATCCGCTTCTCCCCACAGGTGGCCAGTACTTTTGCTCCAGCACTTTGAAAATACAATGACTGCCACATATCGTTTAAGGATGCTTCCTTCCCTGGGTAAGGTCACACACACACCCCTTCTCCACATCATATTTGCAGCTAGGGCCACCGAACATCAAACCTGACAGTTTAGGAAACAGAACATTGAAGAGTTCTGGGTTTGAGTCCCGACTCAATAGGCCTGGCTAGACGGCGTGAGCCGAGGCCCAATCATACCAAGGTTGACCTGCCAAGTAAGAAGCCTCTGCAGAGCTTTTATTTAAACAAAGGTGGCTGAAAAGAGAGTCAGCAGTGATGCGTGTAGAACAGTGGTCCCCAGATGTTCTTGGACCAACTCCCAGAAATCCTGGCCAGCAGAGGCGGTGGTGAAGGCTTCTGGGAGTTGTAGTCCAAGAACAACCGGAGGCCCAAGTTTGGGACCACTAGTGTAGAAGGATGAGAGGGAAAACTACAAAGCCCTGGTCATGTGGAAGGGATGCTTCAAAACCATCCGGAGAGCTTGGGTTTTCCCAGGAGTGTGAGCGATCACCCCAAACCACCAGGCACTCATCCAGTCAAGAATTCTCATGATGTAGAACTAGTTTTACATCCCTCTTCAATCTAACACCTGCACTTGCCCCAAATAACAGTTCAACAACACCTCCTGTTCCATCGCTCCCTTGCCAAACATTTCCTCTCTCTCATTGTCACACACACACACCCTATCCTCTCCATACCATTTTGCTTCTTGCTACTTGAGGAAGCTCTAAAGGGGAGAATCTGTGAAAGATTCAAGGGCTCTTTGGCAGGTGTGGAATTTATAGCTGCAGAAGGACACACACCAGTCTGTGATTTTCCCCCAGGGCCGTTAATGCTGAAAAACCTCTCGGAATTGCTTGCTCATTTAGACGGCGTTTCTTCCCTTGAGACAGAAACTCAGCTAAAAGTTTCTTCTGCCCCTTCATCTCATGAAGGTGTGTCCAACAGTGAATACCTAAATCAGCAGCATCTGCTGCCTGCTTTTGCCCACCTTGCGCCTGGTCTGAAGCACCAGCTTTTTAGCCAAGGAGGTGAAGTTGGCTTTACTTCCAAAGAGGCCGTGCAGAAAAACGAGTGGAGGCTGGGTGGAGGGTCCATCAAACACTGCATAGGAGAGTGGCCCTGGTCTGTAAGCAGAAAAGAGGAACTAAGAAAAGGTATGCCAAGGAAGGGGCACAAGGACAGAAGGAAGCATGGAAAAAGCCCTGGTCTCTGAAAAAGGCCCATTAAAATCAAATGAGAATGATTTTGTCATCTCAAACCTGCTATTTTTCTTGCTGATTAATAATAATACAGCAACAATACAAATTGTAATACAAATATAACGTGCTGAAGGATAATGAGTGTGAAGTGCTGGAAAGTAACAAAATAACTACATGAAAAATAAACAGACCACCCCGAATTGATTTATTGTATCTCTTTGTTTATCAACCCCTCTAAGCGCTGACACTGCATTTCCAAGCAAAGAAATGGCTCGGTTGGTTCCAGATTCTGAACTGCTTCCTGTGCTTTTTAGACAGTGATCTTGACTTATGGGGTTAGATTTTACACCTTTCCAAAACTTCCGAGAAAAACAAAGGAAGCCGCTTTAAAACCTGTGGGCAGGGCTGGGGGGCTTCTCAGGCATTATTAGAATAAAGCCTCCAAAACTGTGCTCAGCACCAGCTTCCAACAGCTGCCTCCATCTCTCTCCTCTTAGCAGCATCGCCTTGATCTTTCCTCTGCAACCTTGTACTTAAAGATGCTTTTCCCCCTTCCCTTCTTCTAGGGAAGCGGTGTGGAGATGATTTATTTGGTGCCATTTGTTAAGGTGGTGAGGATGATTATTTGTAGGCCGCCTTCCCCTGGATTGGCGGGGAGGAGGACTCCAGCCCATACAAGGGCTGGCTCTTCCCCCTGGAGGACCACGTGGGGAACCCCCCCTTTGAAAGAGGAACAGACCTCTGCGGCCGCTCTACCCTTCCCCCCCCCTATGGTGCGCAACATCCGGGCAATGGAAGGCTACGGGCCGACGCCAGCTCGCCCCTCCGCGGAGAATTCTGGGAAAGGAACGCCCGCCTCCCCTCTTCCTCCTCCTAACCGCCCCCCCTCAGGCGCTTACAGGCTGGCGGCGAGGCCCGTCCTCTCCCGGCCTCTTCGGAGCG